GAGAGAGAGAGAGGRTCATCACAGCAACCCTTACTTTTCAACTGTGAATCTGCGATGCAAATAAGTCAGGACTAAGATCTGAAAGTTGAGACATTTCTGCCATCTGAATACTTCGAAACTATTATATGTTTTTAAGGTGTGCATTGCAGAATGTTCGTTTGCTGCAAACTTGTTCTGTGAAAGGTTGGCCACGTTTGTGTAGTTGAGTGCTGAGTGTCCACAGACCCGTCTACCTTAACGACACAGTTGCAGGCTTGATTTTTGTCTGTTCTCTTAGGGATGCTCATCCATATTCATTTAGTAGGTCTGTAATGGGGAACAGAAGGAAAGATGGTAAGACAGGGAAAAGGAAAGAGGGGATGCCATTACCTTCTTGATACACACCAGCATAAGAGACTGACACAGGAAACAGAAGTCGCTAACAGGTTAGACTGTAGAGAATGCATTGGGGTACCCGCATGCAGTACTATAACATTTGACCACACCCGCAAACAGGACATGAAAAGTGCGGATGAGTCATGCAAAGTACCACATTCAATGCTGACAACCGCATGTACTACTTTAGTTTATTTCAGCTGCATGCCACAAGCACATGTCACAAGCAATGTGTTTCCCATGTGGAAGGAAAACAGATGCACAATGGACGAGTTAGTTATATAGATGCTGAGTTCACCCTTCCTCTATATTGAGGACATGCCATGAGAAGATGGCACATCTGCGTACAGCATAGGTAGCCATCGGAGGCCTCGAGACCAAGACTTCCATCCATCATGCTACCTAAGTGTGTGTTGTCATGTTCTCTGTACACAACTCCACAAAGAAAAACATAGGTTTGCCAGACCATTTCGGCAGACTTTCACTGGCTCATCAGGAGGCTTGTTTTGTGTGTGTTGTAAACTGTCACCATAACAACCCTGTTTCCATCCAGATGAGTAGATCCAAAACTGAAACAGCCTTACCTTATAATCTTCTATCAATGTACCCACATGATAGCTTCCTTAAAACATTTCTCTTTCCACACTGTCATCTTTCCATGATGTCATCGTTATCATCATTTACCATCATTACCATCATTACCATCATTACGATTATTATCATCATTATCAAATTTATTCAAGTTCATTGCCATTATCACCATCATCAATATTTTCACCAATATCATCACTATCACTCAGGTGTTACGGTACCAGTCTCTGCTTGTCAGGAATACCCCTCTCGCACATGTGCAAACACATCCACACAGAGAGAGAGAGAGAGA